CAGGGCAGAGAGCAGCCCAACCATGTTATTTTGAGCTCCACTGCACAGCTGGCGGTCTTCAAATTTTGTTTGTCGTTTTGGGTTAGCTTGGTGTTAGCTGGGAACCACAGGCTGTGCTGCACATCACCAGTAGGGTGCATAGGGCAACATAAAAGTGAGAAAGGAAGAGAAAATTTTTTTCAAATCTAATAATGAAAAACAACACATCAAAAGGAGAAGAGTTCAAAATGAGCATGACTAAAGACTTACCAAGGTTTGGCCTCATCAGGGTGTTCAGGCCTTACCATATCATGTGGACCATTCAGGGAAGCAGGACTTGGTCTCATCTCTGCTCTACAGCTGCTCCATAGGGTGGGAAATGGTGTCTGAGGGTCAGGACACAGAGGCCATAGACAACAGGATGCACCCCAAGGTGAGACACTCTCTTCTAGGCTCAGCTCTGTACCTCAGAGCACCATCCTCAGCAGTTTGTGAATCTAGATGGAGCAAGTAAAAGCATGGCTGCTTCTCACCAGCTGGTGCCCTTACACCAGGGATCATACTGTTTTTCCCCTCGACTGTCCCAATTTTCAGCCCTTCCAAGACAGGCTTTGCTTTTATAGAAGTATCACTCCCTTTTCAGCAGAAAAAAAAAAAAAAAAAAAAAAAAAATGTTTTCTTAATCTATCTCTGTGCATTAGATGTTTTAAGAGCTGGATGCAAATGCACAAGGTGGCCCCGGACCTGCCCCATCCTCAGCTGCCTGCAGGGACTGGGGAGGCTCTTGGGGGACCTTTCTCAGGACAAAGGAAATGATTCACCCTCTCACACCAAACAGCAAGTACCCAAATCTGCAAGAGGTGGATGGACCTTCTCTCAGGGGCCCTGGCTCTCCCTCTGCTCATCTTCTCCATAAAATCAGAAGGTGACACTGGCTGAAAGTGACCTCCACATGCCACCTGGTCCAGCCTCCCACCCCAGTCAGGTCCCTTTTGGGCTGGGTTGCTCAGGACCTCATCCTTCATCACAGCAAAGACTTCTCTGTATCTCCTTGCAGCCTCCCCCAGCAATGCCTTCCTTGCACCGGGGAGCCCCAAAGCAGGCACATCCCTCCAAGCACAGGCTTACCCTAGCTGCACTCCCACCGATGCTGGAGAGAGGCAGGAGAAATCGCCACCCCAGCTTGCTGCCTGCACCCCTGCCCGCACAGCGTGCAGTTGGCTGCCTCCGCCACAAGAGCCCACTCCTGCTCCGCGCTCGGCTCTGCCGCAGTCCCCAGGCCCTCCCCAGCACCCAGGCCGATGGGCAGCGAGGCGCAGAGAGCCCCCAAGCTCTCCGCAAGCAGCAAACCTCCAACGAGGGGGGTCTCTGACCATCCTCACGCCAAGGCAGAGGTCCCAGCCGGGCTCAGCTGGCTCCCAGCCCTGCAGGGAGGCACTGGGTGACACTGCAACTCCCCTCCATCCTCAGCCTCTGCTGATGCTCTGGATGCCTCCCTCAATTTTGCACAATTTTAGGCAACCCTACAGCATCATGAGCAGAGCATCCTGCAACCCCAGCTGTAAAACCCCTGCTAAATGCTTCTGAGAGCTATGTGCCTGCGCAGGGGTTATATAGGTGTTCCCCCTGCAGCAGGTGAACACCCTAATTAGGAGGGAAATAAGAAGAGGTGCACACAATCCCTAAACAGGGCAGAGGTAATAACTGATACAGCAGCTTCAAAAAAAAAAAAAAAAAAAAAAAAAAAAAAAAAAAAAAAAAACCCCCCCCAACCCAAAAAAAAACCAAAAAAAAAAAAAAAAAAAAGAGCAGCAGCTTCCTAAGACAGTAATCTGGCTTTCTGGCTTTGAGAAAAGCAACTAACTGCAAAGTATCTGCCAGCTCATGCTTGCTGTGCACCAGGAGCTCCCCTGTGTAGAGGGTATGATAAGGAGAGCTATTCTTGCTCTGGGTTCATAAAAAGATTATTGTTAAGGAGGGGAAGAAAGTTATAAGTGAAATAAATTGGAACAAGCTCAGTGTTTGAATAGAGAGTAATAATGTTATAATAATTTGCATACACAGCCTCTGCCACTTGAGAAACTGAATGTATTTTATAAAGTCTTGTGCTACAAAGAGCAATCCTATAAGCAGACAGCATTAGAGCTGGCCAAATATAAAAGATGAGAATCTGTAAAAACGACATTTTATTGTGTAGGAGAAAGCAATGAGAAGCAGAGTTGAGATCTAACCCTTGGTGTCCTTCTGGAGGAGAAAGCTGGCAAAAGATTGTCACTTGCTTTTATGATCTAGTTTGCTATTATGAGTCTTAGAGTAATTTCTTTCCTGTATTTCAAAAGGTTATATCTAAGTATCTGTTTGCAAATGAAATACATGGGAAAAATCCTCAAGGCCAGAACTTCAATACTAGATCTTTCCAGAAAAAGTCATATAGAAGGGGCTGCTGACAGCTCCTGGACTGGGCTGGAAGGATCAGAACACAGGACAAATATGGGGGAAACTGGAGCCCCATCAGCACCACCATTCACTGCCAGTTTTATTTGCTTTTAGTTTGACAACCTGAAATACCTGAACAATGGCAAAGCGTTTTGCAGCAGCGGGGTTTCCCCAGCTCCTCCACAAGTGATAGATCTAGGCCACGGCATGCCGTAACATAAATCAGACCTTTATGAGTCCCCGGCGGCTGCAAGTCAATGAGTTCTAGTAATATTTATCTATTTTATCCTTCTCTTTATTAATACTTAGACATTTTTAATCTTTTCTTTGCAAACATGATGTTTCCCTGCTGCGGTTGTCCTTCAGTGTGAGCTGCCACAAAAGCTCCTGTTTCTCTGATTAAAGACTTTGTCTTGAAGCAAGCTGCTCCCTGATCTGAAACGACACAACCACGAAAGCTGGGTGACAGCTCCGCCAATTCACCCTGGACAGGTGACACCATCTCAGCACACAGCCGGTGTCCTCCAGACACGGTGTAGCCAGTCTGGGTACCACAATGCAGATGCTGTGATGGTTGTAAGGGGTGTTCTTAAGCTCTTAGGCTGAGCCCTCACCATGGGTGACCACCTGGATTATCACAAACTACAGCCATCGTTTAAAGAGGTGTCCCTGGAAGGTGGCTAGCTCTTCAGGTGGTGCTGCTAATTAGGGATGTATAAATTAAAAAATAAGCCCTGTTTTGACATGCAAAGGGAGATGTGACTCAGCAATTTTCAATTGAAATGATAGATCTTATCTCATCTAACATAGGCATAGGAAAGCGGATAATGCAGTATCACCTCTGGAAAACAAAAAGGGGAAAATATCAAAACAGAAAACACACACACACACACACACACAGAGGAAAAAAAAAAAAAGTAATATAAATTAGATTTATTGTAAAGACTAAAATTTTCCAGCAAGTCCAACCACTACTTTGCTTTAAAGTAAGTGAGAGAAAGGATGCCAGAGCATCTGCCATGCCAGAAATACCTCCAGTGCCCAGAGGAACAGGTAAAAGACCCCTTTTCTTGCCCAACAGTGCACAGAGGGATCTGTGACAGGGGTGCGGCTTAGGACGGACACAGATCTGGCTTTTTTGTTCTGGGGTTGGGAGGGGAGAGGCAGGAGCCGTGTTTTGACTTCTGGGACTATTCAGCAGAATAAATCCTTGAGGGTGATTCCAGAGGCTGTGCTCCCTCCCCAGGGACTGTCCTCCATGCCCACGCACTGAAGACCGGCTTCCATGTCCAGCTTCCACTGAGTGAGAAGAAACCGAGACCAATTTCTTGTCCAGAAAGATGCCCGGTGCCTCCAGGAGCAGAAAGACTTCCAGGGCTGAACAGGTCACCACAGTCTGCTACCACCATTCAGCCAGCTGCGAGGGGTGGCTGATGTGCTCCTGCCTCTGCCGTGTCACCTCTCTTCTCTCACCCGCCTCCACTGGGGGACTGGACATGCTGCCCTCTGCCACCGGCTCTGCCGCTGAAACACCAGCATGGGTTCAGGTGCTGCCTCCTCTCCTCTGGCTGTTTGCCACGATGGGCTGAGCCCACTGCTGGGGCTGGCAGGAAGGAGGACAGTGGAAGAAAAGGGGCTGTGGCATGGGGGAAAAGAGGGGCTGCAGGTTTTTCTGCAGCATGTAAGTGGCATGGTGAGGACACTGTGCATATGGAAACATCTTTAATCTGGAAAGCAATTCCAGATGATGTAACTTCCACCTCCTGCCAAAGGGCTAAGCATATGCCCAGAGGTCCCCAGCTGAGGCAAGGACCAAGACAGCTCTCCTGGCCACTCACAGACAGCATGGGACAGGTAAAACCAGGGCGAAAAAAACCAGAAGAGATGCTAACGCTGTTCCACATAGGCTGACCCAGCCCCAGAGCCTGGGCTAGGGACCCAGCTCTTGCCTGGGGACAGTGGCACCCCCTGGGCTGGACTTTTAGGGGCTGATGATGGGTCACTGCAGTGACACTCAACCTTCTGGCTGAGCCTACCTGGAGAGAGACACAATCCTGGGGAGCTACAACCTCCATGTGTGGGAACTGGTGAGTCTTGGGCTAAGCTAACATCCCAGTCACTGTTCTTCCAGTAGGACATGGTCCCTTGAGTCCTGCCCAAGGGGCCCACAACCTTGTCACAGGTACGTGATCTCGATCACATTGGACTCAGCACTCCTGCAGGGAAGGTGATGCTTGCAGGAGCACTGGCAGCTTATGCCAGCCACATCCACGCTGGCTGGCTCCCGCTGGCAGGGCTGGGCAGGCAGCTTCTTCTGGGAGCCCAGCTTCTTCCAGTCCGTGAGGTACACCCCATTGTCCAGGTCCTGCGGCATGGGCTCATGGTAGAGGGTGATCTGGACAGTGCGGAGGTGAGGACCGTAGTGCACCACAATGATGATGAAGACAGCCAAGAGGACGAAGATGACGACGATCACTGAGATCATGGGCAGGGCATCAGATTTCTTCGTCACGCTCCTGACAATGGAGATGGGAGTGAAGGCAGCCACGTCCTGGGGCTCGGGCTGTCTTAGTTGGCTGCCGGGCATGGAGGTGTTCATGGCTGAGCAGGCTGACCTGGGACAGAGAAACATGGGGTGGAAAGGGGTGACCACGGAGCAGAGGCTGTCCAATGTCCTCATCTCCTGCCCTTGTGTCGGCAGGTCCCGCCTGCACTTGCAGCACCTGGGGAATGGGACGGTCCCGTAAATGTTCCCTCCTTCAGGCTCACAGGACAGGATAAATTTTGGTGGTTATACCTGGGGTTGTAGGACAGTGCCCTGGACACGTTCAGCTGGGGAGCAATGCACTGCGTCCCCTTGTCCGGGACACCTTCAGCATGGGGCTCTTCCCTCCCCACCACACTTTGCTCCCTGGTGGGAAGCCCTCCACCCTCCCCTCCTCGCCCCCAGCCCCACAGTGCTAATCCAAGACCAAACCCCATGGGGACCTCCCTGGGAGACCCAACCCCACCAAAACACACCACGAGGCATCCCGTGCCACAGCCACAAAATCCCATGGGAGCCAGCACGGGTGGGAGCAGGGGGCAGCAGGGGGAGAGGAGGGAGGGAGAGCCCTCCCCAGCCCCACAGGGGTACCTTGGTGTCCCTGATGCACAGGAATCATCGTCTCCAGCAGTGAGGCTGGGAAGCTGATGGCAGGACCAGCAGAAAAACCTCCAGGATGGTTCTCTGGTGTAGGTGCAGCCAGACTCACCTCGGAGGCTGCCACGTCACGCCTTGGCCCCACACCGCCCCGGGATTCCCCGGGGCAGAGGAGGAAGTGCCTGCTCATCCCGCAGACAGGAGAGGTGCTCCCTTACCTAGCCTGGTGCCACATCAGCGCCGCCACCCCCTCCCTCGCTGTCAAGCACCCTCGCCGGAAAAACCCCTCCTCTCGCCTGCTGCCAGACAAGCGCCCTTTTGTTCGGGGAGAAAGCACCTACCGCCCCTTCAGCTGCACACATGCAACCCCCAGCCGCCTAACTGCAGGAAACCTCCCTCCTTCCACTGACTTGGACTTAAAATCTAATGCAGTTTAAGAAATCAGTGTAAAAAATCACCCTTCTGCACGTTAGCTCTTTGCAAAGCCCAGCAAAGTATATCCAACACAATGGTCCAGGCTGGAAGGACCCTCACCCTGAGAGATGATGCAGCCCCAGGGTTGATATTCTCTGCCAGGGGGTTCCCGCTGCTGCGGAAGGACCATTCGTCAGCACTGCTATGGCCAGCAGCGGTGTGAGTCCATGGCGAAGCTCTGGACCCTGGGACCCACTCAGGGCTGCAGGCAGGAGCCAGTGCCAGGTTGGTGCTCACACACCTCTCCCCTCGCACAGCGGTCATGCGAGCAAGGCTGCAGGGATGCCTTTGATTCTGGCAGCATTTACCCCTGCACACAGGCAGGTACCGTCCATTCGGTCCAGGGATGCCATGTGGTCAGACCCTCTGCCACCTGGCGTGACCCTGAGCACTTCTGAGAGCAGAAAAGATGGATCCTGTGGAGTTTTAGCCATTACAAAACATGTCTCCCCACCTTTCCGTCGCAAAAGAACACCGCTCTTACCTGGAGGCTCTCAGCTGGGGTGAATATTTGGGCTCTGTCTTTCCTGCACGTGGGGAGGACGGGGTGGGAAATGCCTCTTCCCTCATCCAGCCGAGCATCCAGAAGAGATTTAGCCACACATTAGAGCTTCTGGGAATTTGCACTCATTTCGGAATTCAGTAAAACCTTAATCTACAGCATAATCTCTGAGCATCACATCTGTGCAAGAGAGAGAAAAAATGATGGGGGAGGCTACTACCAGAGGCTTTGTAAAAGCAAAGGCTGTTGTGGGATGCTGGCTGCTTTTGGCCTGATGGTTTGCTTGAGTTTTTGGAGGTATTTGAAGAGACACACTGAAACGCAAGGAGCTGTGCAGTGTGTGGGAGATCTGCTCCATTCCTGCCGCTGTCTCCTAGTCATGGAAAGCAAGGACCTTGCCAGCAGCATAAGACACCCCCTCAATGCGCTCCATGCAGTGAAGGAGCCGCTCTGTTGCCCTCGGCTGAGGCTCTGCAGCTTTTCAGGGGGCTGTGGGAGGGGGCTGGACCAGCCCCTTGAGCCAGGAGACACAATCCTGTGGATTTGCATCCTGAACACCCACATGGACCCTCCAAGAGGGGTGGACACGGGACCCTTTCCCACATGGGGACACTAAGACCCTTCTCCTCCCCCAAACACCCATTCACATCCAACACAGGGCAACTTGTTACTACTGAAGTTCAAACTATGCCAGCAGGGGACAGACAGACAGACAGGACAAGCATAGACAAGTGCATCCCAAGGTTGGGGCCAAGAAACCAAATGCTCCAAGCTCCTTGGGCTGGTTGCGGGGCAGAACCAGCCTAATTTTCCAGTTCTTCCCCTTGTCAAGGATCTGGGGTTAGGGTAAGTCAATGTCTGCCGTGTGCTGTATGTCCTGCAGGTACGGATGCTGCTGCTACCTGAAAAACAGCATCCCAAAGCCAGCATCCCAAAACCAGCACATCCTGATGCCCAGACTCACTGGAGCTGCACAGGGAGGCACAGGGCATGGGGCAGCACTGGCTGCTGAGTGGCTGGCTCCTGGCTCCACGAGGAGCAAATATTTCCAAATCCTTCTTGGAGATGTTAAGAAATCCCTTCTCAGGTAGGAGGGGAGGACTGCCTCCTCCAGCAGCTCCTTGCCAAGGAAGGACCAATGCAGCCTGCAGCCCTCACAGCTGATGCAGAGCGGATTGGACGTGGGGCGCACATCCTCACCACAAACAAAGCATCTCCCAAAAAACCCAAGCACCATAAGGAAGCTACTGAGGCCCAAAGCAGGGCAGGCCTGCCGTGCCACCGCTCTCCCCCACTATGAGAGCTGAATCCCCCAACAAACTGAGGGGGAAGTTTCCTTTGCCATCGGTAAGCGATGTCTCATATCCTCTCCAATCATAATGGGCTAAAAAACACAGTTCCCCTGTGGATTCAGCCCATTTCCTTCTATTCTTTAACAGGAAGCTCTGTGAGAGTCAGCCCAGGCAGGCAAATTGCTCCTCACCCTCTTGTCCCTCCCGAGATGGACAGACTTTTAGCAGGGCTGCAGAGCCACAAGCCACTGAGAAGATGCTGCCTTCGTCCATCCATCCGCTCCTCTGGCTCTTCGGCTGCATGCTGTTCCGAGGTGAGATGCTCCGCTCACAACCCAGGGAGGGTGAAGCAGTGCTGGGCAGGGGATTTGGGGAGCCTGGCTTCACAGGGGGCACCAACGGGAACCAGCTAGACATTTGAACATGTAGTAGCTGCCACTGGAAAGCTAAGCCTTTAAATTCAGGGGTGGCAGGAGTCAGATTGCTGGGAAAAATGTGGCCATACCAGGTTTATGGAGTTGATTTGACAGTGCTGGTATAAAAGAACCTGTTTCCTGGTTAAAAAAAAGAGTATTTCTGCTGAAGGTTACAATGCTGAGGTGTTTTGAAGTAATAAGCATGAAAGTAGAACATTTAAATGTACAGGACATTATTTTCCTCAAAAGTATTTTTTCCTTGGCTGATTTTAATTTTTCCTCTCGTTGATATAAATACAAAGACCATGCGCAAGACTCATACAGAATATGCCTCATCCTTATTGTGCCAATTCTGCTCCTTTGTGATAATTCTACTTTAACTTCTCTTTCCCACATGAGTTGTGGTGTGGGATGAAGGAGCCGGTTTCCTGCTCTGAGGGGTGACAGGTTGTTTTTTCCTGCATTGTCAGGCACCTCTTTTGTTGCTGACAGCTGTAGTAGCTAGGAGCTGAAAAGCATTCAAAGCAATATAGACTGCAACATCATTGCTGCTTCTAATAGACAACCACTTAAAAGTAACGTGTCTCCAACCCAAAGTTTTTATCATTAAACCATAGAAGTTGCCTACAGGTTACAGCCACTGTGCTGATAATAATGGGATTTTTAAAGGGCAGAGAATATAGAAACCAATTCAGTTAGTAGCTGTGTAATTCTGAGAAGTAAGAGCACATGGGTTGGAGAATTTCTCTCTTCATTAGAGGGCAATACTGCTGGCTTCAGCAGAGCGATGAATTGTGGCTGGTATCATACAAGGGACTTCGAGACCCCTTGGCCATACTGCTATGCTCCTTAATGCCTGGCCAGAACGCTGGTTTTCCCTTAAAACTACTTGGTATGGTTTGCACAGGACAGGAATACCATAGAGGTTGTTAGACAACTTCTGTGGCTCAGCTGCATCACACCGAGATCCAGCCCCCTGTCCAGTGCGGAACTGATGGCTGCACTGCCCCCAGAGATTCACCTCCCGGGTGGACCCAGCTGCTGCAGCATCAGGTGGAAGGGATGCCACCCTCCGTCCTTCAGTTCTGAGCGCATCACTTTGTCCTCTACAGTCTGCTTAAAATCACAGAGCAGTTCTCACTAGATGTGTATCTAGCAGTTAGCGCCAGACACCAGCAGGGCCAATGCCTACAGACGATAATGGCATTGCTGATGCTCGATGTGCATCAGCTGATGCTGCAGTTGCACCTCTCCAGCTTCGACCAAAACAATGGGCCTTCCCCACTGTCATATATCCTGTCTCACTTTTTTGCATTGATCCAAGAGTTCTGAAATGGCTTTAATTTTATTTTTAGTTTTTTAGCAAAGTCACTAAGGTGACGCAGTACTTTGGGGGCAAAGCTTCTGCGCAAGGCAAAGCAGCAGGCTTAGCGCAAGGGGCAGAGACAGGGTCAGTGATGCTGCCAGTTCCCTGACACACAGGCAGCTGGAGAAGGGAATTAGAGGCTCTTGAACAAGACAGAAGAGCTCAGAGGTCTCCCTGCACCTGAGGAGGTGGAAGTAACCTTGCAGGAGAGACAGAATTTGCTTTGGATGGAAACTAATACCCACCTGTTTCTGCACAGGCTTTTTTTTTAAACTTTGTGCAAGTTCGTTAATTTATTAATGAATTTATTATTGCTTTATTTAAACTTCTAAGCTCTCACAGTTATTTCTAAAGGAAGGTTCAAATACTGTTATTTTGAAATTGCTGAAGTGGGAAGGTTTGGAACATTTCCAACTTGTTTTTCCTCCCCCAGAAGCACATAACAGAAAATTTGTCCAAACAAACCTCTTCCTATGAACAGTTTCCATTACAATGGGCAGGCATTTTCCAGACAAAAGACATCCACCAAAAATTCCTCCTCGAAGCTGATGAGAACCCAGCAGGATTTTCCCACTGTCACTCTATCCACTGCTCTCCTTATGTCTGCCACAGCCAGTGGATGGATAATACCATGAGAAGCATAGTATATTGAAAACATATAAATATGTTGATATATATATTTTTGATACAATTGAAAACATGGGGTGCAGCTAGAGGACAGAGATTGAGCTACCAGGAGACCTTGGAAGTGCTTGCATCCTAAAACCAGGGCATCGGGTGCATCCTAACTGATTCCTTGGCCAAAAAGGAGCAGCCAGCACAACTCTGATCTGGTGAAGGAGGAAGAGAAAGCAGGAGGTACTTAGGAGAAATGTTTATTCACAAAACAAACTGCTCCCTTCTAGTAACACGAAAGAAACACGCAGATGACTCCGCAAATCTGACCAAAGTGGCCAGAGGCGGTTTCCAGGAACTATGTCCCATTTACAAGAGGTGAGTCAACAACAGGTGTCCCTGGAAGGGAACAGTGCTGGTAACCCAGTGCTGGGAACGCTCCTGCTGGGAAAGCCAAGGCATGGGCTTAAGCCCAAGGCTGGAAAAGGGAGATGTCCACCTTGTGTAGCACCAGCAAAGGGCACCACTGCAAAGCCTCAGCTAGAAGGTCTCATTACTCCACTGCCCGGAGTAGCCCACTCAGCACGACCCAACCATCATAATGAGGAGGAACCTCCCATTTGGTCTTTTTTGTAGACTTATGGGCTGGGGGGGCCTGTTTTTACTTTTCAGCTGAATCATCCCAGCACAGCAGAAAGGGGCAAAGTCCCCTCTATCTCTGGCTGCAGGGGTGGAGATATAAAAGTTTCAAGGACATTTTGTCTCTAATGCCAGTAGCTAATGAAACTTCCTACAAACCTGGTGAAACGCCAGGGATGCAGTTAAATGGCACTGCCTTACTAGCAGGTGGTGACACTAGTGGGGTCCCCCACCTTGCCCACCATCATCAGGCACAACTGCAGACTCTGCACACTCCTGAGGGCAGCACAGCTCTGAGCGAGCAGCTCCAGACATACGATTCAATAAGCTCCTCTCATACGTTAGCTAGAAGTGACGCTGGAGTTGCTAAAAATCTTGAATCACACTGAAATTAGTGTGATCAGAAATGAGGGAGAAACATGTCACAGCTGACAATGCACCAGATGGAGACACAGGACCACTGGGCTTTGTGTCTGCCACTTATCACAGCCACATAACGCTCCCGTACCGTGTTTTTCCCAGATATGAAATAGGGATAATAAAATTACCTCTTCCATAAACTGCTTTAAAATCTAGGAATAGAACCTAGGTGATATCACCAGGGCCACTCACTTAAAATCTGGACTCAGATGAAGCCTGTCAGGCCAAGAATCTTTACCTGCTCTTTAGCTGCCGCTTCTGCAAGACTCAGCACTTCAGGCAGCAGCTGCATGGTGCCTACCCAGCACCGATGCACTAAAATGACTGCATCCAGGCAGGGACATCCTTCAGCTGCTCCCCTGGGGTTCAAGCCAGAAGACTTAAGAAAAGAAAGTGGAAATAAAAGAGAAATCCCTTTGCCACCAGCCCCTTACACACCTTGTCTCCTGGGTCACTAGGTGGGAGCTGAACCGATCCCAGCAGATCACATTTCTGCATGGCGGTTCACAAACACCACACAGCCTGGCTGCTACCAGCAATGCCCGAGTAAACCTGGGGAGTCTTGGAATTACTAGAAAGAATAATAAATTTGTGAATAAACTTGGAAACAGTAGCAAGAAGCCTCCACGAACTTGAGGGATGCAAGACATGCCTGGTAGGCACCTACCACTGATCCACCACATTGGCTGTGCTGCTGCAGGGCATGGTAAACGCATGTGCTGTCACAGGGCTCTGTGGATGCCTGTCCGGAGGTGTAGCATACAACCAAATACAGCAGCGGATCTCCTACAGCAGCTGGAGCACACAACAATTGGAACAAAATCATACAAACTGCTAAGGACCACCTGTGAGGTGGCCTGTACAATGTCAGGACCTTGGCTGGTAGCCTCATCAAGGTGCAAAAGCAGCACTGCTGAACTAGCCTGCAACTTATGACGCTTCCTCTGTGCCTCAGTTTCCCCATCTACATAAAACAAAGCAGAGCTAACACTACCCCTCTCCTCTGCAAAGTGCTTTGAGATCTGCTGATGAATAATATTATTAAAAAAATTGTAGGTAAGCAAAAAGCACACACTGGGCTCCAACTCCCGTCAGGCCTGGATAGGTGGTCACCCCATGTTTCATTTGAACTGGGCATGGAGCGATTTCCTCCTCCAAAACCCCAGACCCAGGCTCAAACCCTAGGAGCAGCGTAGCCAGGAGAAGGGCAGGACCCACACCACCAGCACTACAGAGACCAGGAGCGAACACAGCTCTAAAACAAGCAGGTCACAGAGGAAACTGGAACCAGTAAGCAGCTAGGAGGGTGCTGGCACAGCAGCCTGATGGAGCAGGTGTTTATTCCCCAAGCACCATGGAGCAGTGGTGGTTCAGCCAGGAGAAAAGCCATGCTGCTTTCCTCTTCCAGGAGCAACCACTTTTTGTGGAAAAAACAGACCTCATCATGCACAGTGATGTGGCAGAGCCCGCTCTATGCATGCAGTTTCCCCACATTGTTTGTCTCCCAGCTTGTTTTCTACATTCAAGTGGGTTTTAATTTACTTCCTCTAAGATCTGCTGCTAGAACAGCTCACCAGAGAGGAGCACAGAGCATGACGCTCAGAGAGGATGCCCAGAGCTGGGTGCAGCCCTTGAGGAGGAGTAGAGGAAGGCTAAGATTAATTTTAATTGCTGACGAGATCCGGGTTTAATTCCTGGCTCTCTAAACTTTCCATAACACTTTGGCTGAGTCGTTACAATTCAGAACCACTTGGCAGTGAGCTGCCAACACCCCCCCATATCATTTGGGAATTAGATGCTTAAATACCTCTGTGGATCTGGGACCTGATTTAGGCTGTCAGTTATCCAGCCTGCATAATGACACTTTTCCTCTCTCTCCTCCATAATTTCCACCTTACCTGTTCTGCTGTGTGACCCTCAAGGCACAGGCACCTTTTTTAGGCACTTAATAAAATGGGACCTAGACTTTTGCAGAGCTCTCTTTTTTCCAGGTTTCCTAATGCAGGATTTTTTTCCATGTGAAAGTCCTAAGAACTGGGTGTTGTTGCTCTCTGCTGCTTCAGCAGCTGCTGTGCTTCACCCAGGAAACAGCTGCACTTGCATTAAGCGAACAGTATATTTTTGTCATGGGTCATTTGACAGAAGTGCCAATATATGAATTGAAAAGTCTACTTTTAGGTGGCTAGGTCTCTTTTCTGAAAGCATTTGTTTATGCAACCTGCAAGCAGAGGGTGACACCAAGGTTGGTACAGCAAGGCTGCACAATGCCACACAGGCTCTGCAGCTCCCTGCCACAAAATGCACTACCTGGGGACAGGTAGGACATCACCGCATCTCCCCCCAAAACTGCCAGGGAAGGAGAAAAGTCCAGCGAGTCCAGAGTTACACATCACTGGGGATAGATGGTCCCTCTCCATCACCAGTTCCGAGTGGACAGGACCAGTCCCAGTGCCTTCATACTAGTGCCAGAGATCCTTCCCTGTGACTCCATCCCTCCATGAATACAGACTGGACAGCACGAGCCCTTCTTGAGCCTCATCTAAACCCTGTTGAAGTGTTTCCAACAGCTGGCCCAGGTCTCTGCTACAGCAGTGTTGCTATATGGAGGCTCTGATGTGAAATTTGGGTTTTGTAAATGTCAGTGCCTCTCTTTGGGCAGCAGCTGGAGAAACCACTCTTTAAAAGTCTATGATTGTGAAAAATAATACCGAACCAGAAATACCTAAAATTCACCTTTTTTTGGGTTACATCATTCTCTTTTTGTGCTGGGTGAGCTGCTGGCTCTGGAAACATCTCAGCTGCTGTGAAAGAAGGCTCCATGGAAAGACCCCTCTGCTCTCAGTCTAGCACTCACATGTAACCTCTCAGAACTACTGCAAATAACAGATATCCAAAATTCCCCGGCTCATCCTCTGTATAAATTAACTGAAAAGCAGCTAGCACTGAGTCAGAGCTGAAATGCACCTGCTGCTGTGATGTGCTCCTCTGCAGCCCTATGGCTTTGCTGGGTTATCAGGAGTTTCCCATTACAGCAAGAGTAGAAAGCCTTATTTCCCATCATAGAGCCCTCAGCAAGCTCCCCATCTCCACCTAGAACTGCACAATCTGGCTATAAATCACTTGCACCCAAACACGCAAAAAATATCTTGGCAGTGCTTATGCTCAATGGCGAGTTATTTGAATGGCTTTGATGTTTATTGCAATTACAGCTGCGCTGGCTGCGTCCTGATTATTATTGTTAGCTGTTTATATAGCCAGGGCTCTCCATGGAGTGTAGCAGGGCCGGGCTGGCAGAGGCACCAGGAGGAAATGGTTTCCAGCACTGTTTGCACGAGAGTCCCCCGGGGACGTCTGCAGGGAGCCGCGACGCGTGGCGCTTTCTTGTTCATACCCGTCTGGCTGCCCAGACCCACGACATGACTTGGGTATCTTCCTGCTTTGAGCACATCTGTCCTCCTCCGTTGTAATTCAGCCAGGATGCTAAGCACCTTCACCAAAAGAAAACACCTCATATAACAGGACTTTTGATTATTTAAGTTGGCAGGGAAGGCATAACAAGCAGCAGTGGCCAGAAGTCAGAGCCAGACATGCTCCACTTCGAAATAACGTGCAGTGGTGCTTAAAAAGCCAGGGCCATTTACTCCTGAGCAAAGTGCCAGAAGTGGATCTCCATCCCTTGGCCTCTTCACAGCAAGACCAGTGACTTCACAGCAAAGCTCAAACACAGCAGACCAGGGTGAGCATCTACTTGGCCAGGTGAACTCCAGGGAATGAGTACTGGAAAAAACCTGCTTATTCATCTTATTTACAATAATGCCAAGGTTTACTTTTGCAAACGGAGAGCTCCTTATGAGCCAGTGCTCTGGTGTGACCTTCAATGAGGGGCTGAGTTGTGGTGGAAGAAAGCATTGGGTATGATCCTCTTGCCCTAGTGCCAAGGGTGCTGGAGCTAGCCCACAGGATGGTCCCATCATGGATAGCAGCACAGGGCAGCAATGTCAGCTCCCTTGCTCTAAGCTTCCTCCCACCCCTAGAGGCTCCTCTCAAGCTCTCAGATTTCTCCTTAGCTGCACCAAAAATTTAAACTGCCAGCTCAGCACCTTCATTCCCCTTTTCCTTCAACAAAGACTAAGTGTAGAGAGTAGCTCTTTCTTCAGCGATTCTTGATACTTTCACATGCCATGTACACGAAAAAGCACCTGTGATAATTTAAAAAAGAAAACGTGTTACAAGCAGCTACTTCTCCCCACGGAGGAACAAGACAATGGCTTCTGCAAGGGAATTTTCAAGAAAGTAGCTGTTTGAGTTTGGCAGCTGCTAGAGGATATTGGCCCCCATGATGATCTCAGCACATTATTTTTTGTGCCGAATGTATACACAGTACCTTAAGGCATTTGCAAACCAATCTCCAGAAATTGTGTTGTAAAGCTGTTTAAGGAGAGGAAGCCCAGTGACAAAGAGAAAACTTGGCAAACTCTTGGGATTGATGGAAACGGCCCAAGTCACTGCACGTTCTCCATGGAGTCAGCTGGCCCCCGGGGAGCAGGCAGTGCCCCACAGTATCCCAGGCGACAGGGCTGCAAAGGGGTGCATCCCCCTTTCTCAAAAGAAGCATCTCTACCTCTTCAAGAAGGGCAACCATGTGCCCAAAAGATCTTTTTTTTTTTTCCATTATATTAGTTGACTTAGTAAATGATGCTACATCTGTCCATAATCCCGTCTGTTACTAGACTGATGCTCATTTGACCTGCTCTTCAAAACTTGTGGAGAAGGATATCCCATAATTCTCCTACACAATCACTCCTAGCAACTCACTCTCCTTATGTCAAGGCAGTTTCCTATTGCCCAGCCTCCCTTTTCCCTGCTGGAGTTAGAAGTCGTTGTTTTCTAGTCCTGTTCCCAATGGATTTAGAAAACCAGTTAGTCCCTGTCCATGCTGTAACCCAGGTACCTCCTGGGTTGTGATCTGCTTTAAATGTCTATTTGGTTGTGGATGCACATACCCACGTGGAGATGCAAATGCAGGGTCCACAAATGGGAACCAGATTCAGAACTCCCATCCACCTCCCATCCTTTTCCCAGGACCCTGTGTTGCCCACCTCTACCTGCCCCATCTATCATCATTCACCCCCACATCTGCGGGGGCCATGGAGGGCACTGCACCCCAGAAGATGACCTTACCTGGTTCCCCTTTTTCTGGTTTCTGCCCCCAACCTTGTCTGGAAGAAAGCAATGCTGTGTTTCAGGAAGCCTAGTGAAAGCAGAGGGATCCTGCCTCTTCTTTGCTCTCAGTTCCCCCCAGCTGTTATATAGCAGTTCTCCATTAGCATGCTTCCCTCCACAGATCCTCAGAGCCAAGGTCCCTATAGCCACACCAGTGACAAACCCCCTCCTTAGCATCTCTTGCCCCCATCACCCTTTCAGCTCATATTGGCTATAATGGCCTCTTTCTGGCCCATCCTTCAACCCTCCCTACAGGGATCCTACCAACAAGGAGCACGTGTAGGAGATGTCACCTCCATGTCTCTCTGTTTGTGTTACAGGTCAATCCCTATCAACAACACACAGCCCTGAAGTAAAGAACCATACCTCAGATAACGCTCATCTGAGACCTAAGAGTGCAGCTCAGGAGCATCCTGGCTTGTACTGGTCTGACCTTCAGTCCAGCTGGGCCATCCAGCAATAAATGGGGCTGTGCAGCAGCAGGTTAGATAAGAACAATGGGGAAGAAGGAAGTTTTGTGGCATAAGGGCTTCTGATCCAGCCGGCTCACCCCAGAGGGTTCAAGGCACAGGTGTGAGCAAGAACCAGGAAAAATCACTAAATTGAATAGGGAGAAGCAGGGCCGGCAGGTCACAACCCAGAGAAAGCCCTGGGCTTTGTATCTTGTGTGCAAAAAAGGATGTGACTGCCCAGAACGCAGGCAAGAAGCCAGGCTGAGCGGCATCCGTATTGCTGCATCCTCCTACCTGGCATCACCTGCTTTGCTTAGCAGCTCTTCCATGGAAGAACCATCGGGTGTGTGCAGTACATGCAACACAGTGCCTCGCATACCAAGTCTGGCCTTGGCTCCTAGTGTTGTGATGGAAGTAACAGCAATGAAGTCATTGTAAGAGCTTCCCTGCATTACATTTACTGTTAAATACTGCTCTCTTGACAAGCCTGACTGCACTTTTTTTTTTTTTTTTAATTAAAATCTTCCAGTGCTTTGCACACCATCAACACCTCCCGTACAACAGGTCAACATGTTTCCCGTCTCTCCAAGAGGAAAAGGGGAAGCATGAAGGGGCTTGTCCTAAACTGTACAATGTTTGTGTCAGCACAGGGACTGAACACTGCCTTAGCTCTAATTCAGTTATTCATGTTGGGGGTTTTGCTTTGTTACCTACCTTCATGGAAACAGAAATCACTCATAAGGACAGAAAAATATTTAAAAGCAATATGAACCTCTGAGGCGTTCCCTTAGTGTATTCTCTTTTTTCTGTTCTCCCCTTCTGCTGAAACCAGCTTCAGGACACTACCACGTGTACGCGGTCACACAGAAGGCCTGGAAGTCAGTGTAGGGAGGTGTTAGCAGAAAGTTACATGTTTCAGTCTGAAAATACACAAAGCCAAATACACAAGAAGGGATCTCTCCAAGTCTAGATCCACATCTGTTAGCTTAATTGGATCTTTGGAGGCAGATCTCTTCCTGCTACCTTTTTTTGGGGGGCGGAGTCTTTCTAAGCATAGCTACCCCTCCAAAGGGACCCCAAAAATATAAAGGAAGAAGATCTCAAAAAGATCTCAGATTCTGCTTCCATGCCTTGCAGAAAAAAGAAACTTATTCCTAAATTCAGGTGTTTTGGTGAAGCATATGGATGAGGCGGGGGGGGGGGGGGGGGGGCCACCCCA